CTCTCTCTCTCTCTCTTTCCGTCTGTGTGTGTGTGACGTGCGTCCATGTTACTTATTTACCTTTCCTTTCTTGTTTCGTTGCGGATGGTGGTTGGAGGGCGCCACTGATTTATTGTGTTGCAAGTGCCGTAAAGCTTTAGCGTAAAACTTCTGCGTAAAACTTTTGAAAAGTCCATAGAAAAATCCAAACTAAACTCGTTGGCAAACAAGAGCAACAGCAAACTACCAGTCTTCATACGTATGTCCTCGTCAGCCGTCAGAAGCGCGGTTTGTCGGAAATGTCTTGGGGTTTACGACGTTTGGATAAATAGTTCTTTTTACTTTTCCCGATCCACGCAGTGAGATTTTAGGTGCAGTGACATGGAAAACACGCACATCTACGTGACATACTTTTGAACGTTACAGTCTGGGTCGTTGGCGGGTGCTCTGGTGTGGTTTGCTCCTTCTCGTTGTCGTGTTTGTTACTTACTCCGTAGTAACTATTTTTCGGCGCTAATATAACCTATTTGCGTTGCAAGTGCCGCAGTACTGTTACTAAAACTGAAAACTTGAGCGATATATACTTTATCGTCTCATAAAGCACAGTACTTCTCCGATGTGGACGAGCGTGCTACGTTTGTTAGCTCAGTTGCAGTGCTACGGACTGTCCCCCGCTATGTTATGCAAAAAGAATTCTGAAATTATGCAAACGGAGCCCAAAAATTGTGAAATTATGCGAATCTGTTAATTTTAACAAAGAATGATAAAGGAAAATAGCAGAAATTATGCAAACAATTATCAAAGTTTGCTAGATCTAAATTGTGCGGGGTGCATAAAACCACGGGGACAGTACGGAGCGGATGGCCCTGGTTCTAGTCCTAGACTGAGCGTTCTGGAACTCTGGTCGTTTTGTGGAATTTTCAAGTCTCTGATCGGAGGCGGACGTTAAGTTCGAGGGTCCCATGATAGTTGCAGGTCCACTTTCAATATCCTGAACTAATTGTGTGCAGAAAAAAAAGTATGTGAGTGAAGGGTTTGGAGGATTTTTTTGGGGGGGGGGACATTAAGGAAAGGTT